TTAGTGCGCCCACAAACCAAACGGAAGATCCGTGGTTAGATGCTCGACTAGAGTATTGTTGTCTTTTCTTATTTTTACTTTCTTGTACGAAGTATTGTAATCGCGAAGAATTTCGGGAATCGTATTTCAACAGAAAAATTATTGTTCACGAATCCATCTGTACGCGCGGACAGACGTCACGAAAAAAAGCCCTTTTGAATCAGCTTTAAATCCATTTTACAATACTCTTTGGAAAAATCAGTCCTTTACTCTATCCTTACATACAGACATCACTAAAAAAAATTGCCAAAATGAATTCGGAAGGAGTTAAAATTTCTTTTGAAAAATTATACCCGAAAAGTTTTCGCCAATACAATTCTTCTTTTACTTCATACAAGGAAGAAAAAGTATAAGAAGTTTGATTCCCATACAAAAGAATTTGACTGCGATTTTTAATTTCAAAATGTGCAAATTTTTATGCCATTTTTAACTTGCCTTGAGGAATCGGTTAATTAAGTTAAAATAAGCCGAGAAAATAAATTTAAATGAAGTGCAGCAAAACTATGTATAATTTAATAGGCCGTACGAGGAAGTCATGGCGGTGTTTGAATCCGATTTTTTACTCCAAGAACCCAATAATTTCTATAAAGATCAAATTATATATTTTATAGATTTCTTATTTGTGTATTCTACAGATTCTTCATGATATATTTATTTTATAAATCATCGTTCAAACTTTAAGTTTTACTGCAAAACTAAATATGGGTTTCATCCTCCTTTTTGAACTAAGACATGTATAATTTTTCATTTGTTCCCGAATCGGAACAAGATTTCTTTTGTGGAGAATGAATAACCAAGGTTCAAATCAAAAAACACTTTCTACCTATATCATAATTATAACTTTCGGAACACACTGTATAATTTGTATGCTTTCTTAACAATTTTTTATTTCATAGTAACTTTTCCTTATTTAGAGAAACCTCGATGGGAATTTGTATAGCAACTCTTTTATCGCTTATGTGTTTTAGCGGTTTGCTTTTCATCAATAATATATGGATTCATTTTATCACCATTGGTGTATTCGGGTAAGTTTATTTTCATTTCTTATATACTTTTTAACACTACTACAGTTCGAATATAAAGTTCAGCTCAAAATACAGAATAAATTTACTTAAATTGGCAATTAAATAAAATTACCAAATTAAAATTTTTGAAACAATTTGCGATGCCGATTATCAGGGACTAACTGAATCTTAACCACGATGTCGAAAGCTCTGATTCCAGGATGAGATTAGTTCCAATGAATACCATGCATTTTATCTAAAGGTTTCGTCTAATTATCGCAAAATGAAAAAAACTATTGTTTACATAAAAAACGTCGTTATGACAAATGGTTAAAAATTATGATATTGCTTAGGAGAAATGAATAAAAATTTTATTTGATAATAATAAGATTATTGTTTCCAGATAGCATATAATTAAAACGAGTTTTTTTATTATCATTTAAAAATTTGTATTAATTTAAAATTTTGTAATATCAAATTTGATTTAAAACCATGAAAGGTTTGCATTATATTCTTTTTAATCCTACTCCAAGAAAAAGTCAAGAAACCACAAATCTTCCTCGTAGAAGACCAATACAAGTCTGTAGAAGTATAATGTTTCCTTCGAATCGGAAAGTCGGAAACATCACCTCGGTCTCCTTTGAAAGGATTCAAACGACAGATCTCATAATTTCGACCAGTTACACCAAAGACGCGAGCACTGAGGAATGTGATAATTCTTTTTAAATTAGCCTTGTTAAATTAATTATCATAATAAAATGGTCCCTAATTAAATCGACAAAAACCAAAAGATCACTGAAAGTTCAAATCTTAAATTTCAAAGTTTTACTTTGAGACATAAGGAATACACAAGTGAAGCACTTGTAATGGTAAAGAGAACAGGGATATGTAAAACTTTAGCTATATATTCAACCGCAACATTTGGTGCAAGTGTTATGACTACGGGAAATAAGATGAGACCATTATAAAGTCCTGAAATTGAAGAGCAATACATAACAATACCAGTCAGATCTCAAAGATTCCCATTGGGCATCTTTCTTCATTGTACGTAACATGCTGGGCAATAAGCATTTACAGCATGCACAATTACAAGAGCAAACGTCCATGTTGCCTACTGTAACCTGCTATTGCATCGGCTAATGATTGTAATCTACACTATGTGATTCTTATTTGAAATTTAAAAATAATAATTCAAACTTAACTTACCATTAAATATTTTTCTCTATAATTATGTCATAGCACACTAAATTTATTTCAAAAGTGAGGGTATATTTCTGGTTCAACCTCTAGATATTCTTTTACAGTAATCATATCACGTCTATGCTGCTTAACAAAAATTTCGTGTGGTTGAGAGAAAATTGTTGAAAATCTTTAATAATTACTTTCATTTTTAAGAATGATTAGCTCTAGGTTGTACTATGAGAAGAGGAGAAACATCTTTAAGGTGACTATCTTAATACTAGATATATTTATTTGAAACTAAAGAAGTCATCATTCATGTTTTGAAATACCTTAGTTTCTAACAGCTAATTTTGTACCATTATGAATATTTCACCTCAGGATTTCTGAGTCTCTTTGCCCCATTCTCTTCTAATGATATGTCAAAATTTCATTCCTTCCCCCCCCCTCATTGTCGTCTCTGAAACAAAATATAAAGTTTAAAATATTTTATTAGTATAATATAAAGAAACGCATTAAATTTTTAATTCTTTTCAAATTTTTCTATTACTTTTACACTTATGAATTAACTTTACGTAAAATATTTATCTAAAAATTATTAAAAAATAAGAAATAGAAAAGTAGGGCCGTGGTACTAATACATCAGTAAATATTGTTAATCACGTGGCATATTTCAAATCTCTTTAAAGCTGTTATGATATATTACAATTTCAAATTTAAAATTGCTTTCTTTTGATCACAGCTATGGTTGTTTCCTTTATTACTTATGGAAAGCATCTCAGGAATATAAATGATTCTGCTGCTAACTTATGAATACTAATGAAATAGCTACATATTACAAGGATTATGTTGCTAACAATTTTGTTGCCGTTGAAAATATTTATTGCATTCAAAAATTTAGAAATGAATCATTTCGCCTCAACATTTTTTGTGGTTATAGAGAAATAATGAACAGCGGCTTTATGTTATTTGAAAAAAAAATCCTCAGAAGACTCAGGAACATTCTGTAGATCTGGGATCTGATCTTAAGTCTTAAAGAAAAATCAAGGTTTATATTTATGGACTGGTTTGTGAAATAGGTTTACTCAATTTATTTATACAAGTGAAATATTTCTATCAGTGAAAATAAAATTGTTCGTAAAATATTTGCCACTTCTAAAAAGCTATTTTATAAATATTGTTGCGTGCGTACAGGTTAGTAATAGACTGAATGCACACAGCTCCGATGACAGTTTAATAAAATTTATTTTATCAAAAGAAACTTTTAAAAATTCTAGAACTTTCCACAGAAATACTCGTACAGATATTCACAGTATCACAGAGTACAATCGGTAGTTATGCTTCAAACTACTAAGGATGTTAAACGCATCGCAATGCAAAGCGCATCTAAACAGAAAACTAACCCAGAGATATCTCAGTATTCCGATTTTTCACTGAACTAACAATTCCCAGCAATAACAACAACTGAGAACAGATGCTCTCTCTCCGTCCTTATGTAATTTTCACACAGTCGCTGAGATATTTCTAGTACTTTCTGCTTCTCAAAATTACTGGAAGGCAATATGAATGTAGAATAAAGGTTACAGCTAATATAATGATTAATTACATTTATTCATTTACAACATTACGGGGATACAGGGATCGGACGAAAATGTCGCCAAATGGTAGCCAAATTTGGCAATTTTTCAATTACATTTATTCATTTACAATATTGTAATTGTGCATTTTCATACATTTATTCATTTACAATATTGTAATTGTTCATTTTCATACATTTATTCATTTACAACATTGTAATTGTGCATTTTCATACATTTATTCATTTACAATATTACGATGACACAGGGGTCACCAAATGGTCGCCAAATTTGGCGATATTTTGCGTTTTCTTGCCAAATGTTGCAACAAAATAACTGTCCAAAACCGTTGTCAGCTTGGCGGCCCATTTACTGAATGTTAAATGGCCTATTCTTACATTTCCCGCATAGCTTGTCTCTTGAGATTTTTCATGTTACATTATACAAAAGAAATCAACAATTTTACTTATAATTCCACTAAAATTACCTATCTAAGTACAAAATTGTTACAATGTTTATAAATATCATCATTGTAATTACTTATATTCCTCAAACCCCTTTTAATATAGGAAAACTCACAATAACATATATTGGTAATCCCAAGAATTGGTAAACTAACAATAATATAATAATAAATATTGGTAATCCCAAGAACGCTCTCCTAGTTAGATGGGAAATAGAGAACAGCCTCGGTAAATGTATAAATTTTTATTATACTTAAAAGACATAAAAAAGGAAACGATTTTATCGGTTTTACTCTTCTTAATATTGATTGCATTTATCTTTTTCAGATTCATTCAGCACAATAATTTCAGCTGCTTTATAACTGCTCATTACTGTGAGTCTTTTATTGTAGCTTGAGTCCACCACACGGTACCAAAAGCCATCCCCTTAAACCATGAAATCCTCCACTTCGCTAAGTGGAGGTTCCTGTCATAACTGGAGGTGCCTGTCCCCGGTTGACGACTAAATACATAAATTATAAAAAAATCATAAATCTTTCCTATATCATAATCATTTTCTGTCATAAATCCTTCCTTATGAAGAACATCTTTCTGATGAATATCTTAATATTAGAGAACATTTATTTGAAACTAAAGCAATTATTATTGAGGCTTTGAAATATCTTTATAGCCAAGTAGCATTGATAATACCCAAAATAAAGTTCGAATTAAATAACCATTCTGTTTTGTTTATTTATCAGAATGTATTCATGGCATACTTTGCTGTTTGTCTAAAATTTACCTTTCATAACGTCAAAGTTTCTTTTATTTCTAGTTTCTTTTTGCTGAGTTACATTTCTGTTGGTTTTGAATATGGCATCGAATTGACGTACCCAGATTTGGAAATTATATCGGCAAGTTTACTTACCCTTTCAAGTATGGTAAGTGTGTATTCCAGAATAACTATATTATTATGCCATACTATTGTAGTGTAAAATTGTACGTTTTAAAGGAGCTTTATCAGAAGATCAGAAATGATTTTGATTTTCTTATTTTGTGTCTAAAACAAGTTCCCATTGTAGAGACATTAGGTTTATTGTAAAAATCGGAGAGATGAAAAATTAGCAACCGCATTCGCCGGGAATCGAACCACGGACCTGAAAACCGGCTCATTTGCATATTAAATGATCAGTCGCCAAGTTCCATCACCTTACATTAGGACTTGTAAGCAAGAGAGATGCTATGGTCGAACCACGGACCTCTGAAATACCGGCCCAGCGTCCAGAACCACTACACCACAAAGGCATGCTAGGAAAACCGGAGAAATACCTTATAACATATAATTATTATGAATGCGCTATGCATCAGTTTTATATAATATACATTTCTTTAGATAATAGCGATAAATAGGAAAGGCAAGAGATACATGTTGGCAAGCAGCTAGCGAAAGTTCAAATTGATAATATTGAAACTGTCAAATTCAAATTTAACTGTGTATTATTTGTAAATGAAGTTTCATTTCGTAGTTATCTTAACATGCATTCAAAATCACATGCTAATTATTTTATCATTTAAGTTGATATCAGGTTCATTAAAAATAGAAAAACAACATTATTTTAAATTAAGAAATATTGAAAAGATAATTTCATCATGAATCAAAAAAATACATTTCAATAAATTCCTGATTAATCTAAATTTCTTGACGAGCAGTGTGACTCGTTATAGAGAAATCTTTCGCTTATTCATCAGGTTAGTAAACACACAGTTGGCAGGAAGAGGACATTACTAAAAGGTGAATCCGGTTTCCTTCCAAATGAATTTCGTTACTTTAGAAAAAATAAATACATGCATAATATATGTCACTAGCATGTGAAAGCTAAATCACATATTTCATGCGTATTAAAATTCACTAAATTTATTAAAAATTTATCGTTAAGTTTCTAAAATATGACAGAAAACTTCTAAAGAGAAGATTATGGATCACCAGTACGAGTTCTGGTTACAAATGAAAACTTTCAGAAAATATGAATCATTGGAAAACACTGCGAGGATAAGCTAAAGATGTCAGTAGGATTAACTTTCTGGACATCTTAATCTGCAGTATTTAAAGTAGGTTTAATCAAGGGCATGTTTAGAATGTATTTGATATGATCAGTAACTATTTGTTGATGATCCATTTTTGTTACAGACGCAAATTCAATGTCAAATAGCATTAAGTAATATATTTAATTCTTAAAACCTATTTATTTTTTATAAATTTAATATCATAACGTAACATTTGACTACGATGAGGAATTTTGTCAAAATATCTTGTTTATTAAGAAAGAAAAATTTACGGCTAAATTTCATTATATTGTTCCATATGCAGAGAATACAAGTTATTTATATCTTTACACTTTTCACATAAAGGAAACGATATCATTTCATTACATTTTATGGATAATCTTATGAATAGCATATTCTGCTCTTACGTAACATTATTCCTAACCATTATGGTGTAACTAAGGACAAAAGATGCCTTCAAAGAAAGCACATATTTTCTTAAATTTCATGTGAAAGTCAGAAAACTTTCTAGTACACGCTTTGACTAATCAAAATTTTCCGGCACAGATCTATAGTTTAAAGTACAATTCTATAGCAAGCTAAATAAAATTCTACAGCAAGCTTTTATGAGATTTCATAGTAATTTTTGTTTTCGTATCGTTCTTATTAAACATCTCAAACAAATTATTGCAAATAGGATGAATTTTGAAATATATTCAGAAATAGTGTTACAAAGAAACAAACTTCTTGTGGAAAATGCGCTTACATCGAATATTTAAACGTAGTATTTTTAAGTGTAAGTTTTACTTAACATACGAGAAATCTTATAACTTCTTTATACTGTACTGATTTAATAACAGAAAACCTAGCTCTATGTAACAGAAAAGACAAACAATTATAATAATCTCTGTCACAATATGCAGCCTGTCGCTATATGCAAAGTAAACCAATAAGGGCTTAGAATGTATCTCCGCGAACTCAAGAACATTCTGTAGAATGCAACCCATGAACCACAGCGGAAATGTTTACTCGATTGAGATAAACCGTGGAAAAAGGAAAGCTACAATATATTCAGACATCACAGCGGCAAATCTTTAGCAAATTCAGTGACAAACTGTCACAAGCCTATACCAGAAATACGTAAAATCCGGTGAAACTGCAAGCGGCGCCCTAATTCGTCAGCCGTCAAAACTATAATTATCCATTTAACATGCATATAAAAGAGAAAATCGCCTTTTGCTTGATTCACTGTTCTGTTTACTAATTATTAAATGTGAAATTTCTTATCGTGAAAAGAAAATCTCTTTCAGGTATTTTTGGAATTGCTTTAACTGAAATTTCTTCTTTCGTAATGACAAACGTAAGTGTTCTCGCTTCTAATGGAGTTTTGTGCATCAATCTGTTCTTTTGCTGCATTTTGTCAAGTAAGTATTCAGTATTGTTTACAATTTCTTTCTAAAAAGTAGTAAAAGGTTAACTACAGTGATGTTCTTTTTTTTTTCCCCGATTCAGTACTGTGCTGTTTACCGGAATTGCTTTATATCTTACAATCTAGAGTTAACACGGTAGTATTTTAAGCGAAATTACGTAACACTGAATTGTTTAACCAATTGAAATAAACATACCGTCAGTATTATCCATAGTTATCACTAGAAACTGAAATTTGTTCACATTTCTGAGATATTAATGTTTCGTTTTTCCCTCGAAATATTTTTTACAGTTCCTTAAAATGCCTTAGAGATGTAAACAGTAGAACCTCGAAATGAATGCACTGTATGTTTTGAAACCATTGAAGAAGATGATGTTGGAAAGTCTGACATGATGCTTTCATTTAATTCACATCGGTCAGGGTAGCATGTAATAAGCAACTCATGATCAAATGTGGAGAAACATCATTATATCTCACGAGTGCATTAATCGCAATGATATTTGTTTCTATGTGATATTAGTTTCTGTTATGGGTCAAGTTTTGACTGTTTATTAATCGTTTACCCGGTTAGAATAGCATTACGAACATTATTTTCATCCTAAACTGACAACCATAATAAGCGCATTAACACCGCACTTCTACTATAAATGATGCACGATTCGCTTTCGAGAGTGGATTGGAGGAATCATGAGCAGCAATCTCATATCTACTTCCCAATGGTGAAGTACTTCCTGTGCCACAGCCAGCTGTAAATTATACTTTAGGTGAAGAGTAACGCACTTCGTCAAATAGTCGCAAATGCGAAAAAAAAGCTAAGATTACATTCCTTATTTATAAAAACGCACATTGCCTTATACAGTCATAGAAGCAGGGGTCAGTGACATTCTTCGTGATGCGCTTTAAGTCAGATTATTTAAATATTTTTTATTATTGTTTTTATTTCCGATGGCTAGGCAAAAAATTACAAAGAACTAAAATCTTAAAACAGATATTACAAGCAATAGAACTAAGAACAAAAAACAGAAGTCATTGCCTAACCAGCGTTCTTGTCCCCCAGTGTCTCGACTCTTCTGTAAGCAGGTAGTTCCTGTCCACTTCTTCTCCAGAATCACAAAGTGGCCAAATAACATCGCCTGAAATGTCTGTGCGGTGCAAGATTATTTAAATACGGCAAAGCAAACAAGAACTCATTGCCCACGGAAAGAGGTGACTTCGTGAAAGAAATTCCTAAGAAAACTTGGTTATATTCATCTTACGCTTTTGAAAACTACGAAAATACCCATCCGCCAGTCTCCACCAGTATTCAGCTGATTTATAAACTCGACTCTGCTATTCAGGATTAAACAAAAGTAAATCTGAATTCCTCAAAACAAAGTTTCAAAATCGAATTTATTTCATAATGATGTAAATAATAATATTTTCACTTTCTGTGTTTTGTGTAAAATGCTTATTAATTGTTATGAAAGTGATTGTAAGGTACACATTTTTATGATATTTTTAGCGTGATGACTATGTCCTAAATCAGTGTAAAATAATTTAGGACATAACCATCCAAGGCATTATATAGACAGTGTAACTGTCCTGGGTTGGGTGGCTAACTAAATCCTTAACACTGATTAACAACAAAGAGCTGTACACCACGTATTAAATTAATTTGTAATAAAAGTTAGTAATTCTAAGGAATTTTATTTATTATTCTATCAATTTATGCGTACAATATAGAAATAACAGAAGAAGAATATGTTATATAGAAATAACTGTATATAATTACATATAAAAACGCAGCAATGATGAAAGTAAATCATGCGTAAACCACACCATATTTTGCATATTTTGCCATATTGTATATATTGCTTTAATTACATATATCACGGCTTTCATTAATCACAATTATTGTATAGCCCACCATACAATAATGGGAAAGTTGCTGAACAGTGGTAGTTCTGTCCAGGACTCGAATCCCAGAGAACGGGTTGGCTGCGTGGGTGTTTTCGTGGTTTTCCCCATTGTGTAACGTGTATACGAGCCAAACAAAATAGTCAGCTACAATTTGTCAATATTTCTTTCAAAACGTCCTCCACGAAATCATCGTTCCTCTTAAGCAGATAACCTCCGAGTGCCTGGGATTAATTAAATAGACTAAAACAAACTAAACTAAACATATTATGTATGCACCTTTTTTTAAAAAAAATCATATTAAACTAAGCTGTTAATTTTTGTTATAATATCTTCATCTTCAGCACTTTGTGTCGTTTAAAGTCATGACAATATAGTATTCAACACAGCGAACCTTTAAAAACATCTGATATTCTTGATACATAATTTAATACTCCTTTTTTGCATTTTTACAGGTTTCATGACAACTGAATATAAAAGAAGCAAGAAAAATGTTGATGAGACTGTTTCTACCCCTTAAAATCACATACTTTTTATTCCCTTGGAAAAAAAAATACCGAGGAAATTATTTTTTGATATGATGAGTTGACATTGGATTTCATGTTCTCTGTGATATCAGATATAATTTGTAATCGATAATGATATTAGAAGATAAGAGGATGATCTTTTATCGAATATAATAAGATATAATTTGATTTTGAAAAAAATGGAAGCTATCTTGAAAGCAATTAATTTGTTTAATTTTATGTATACTATTATGACATGTTTCAGATATAATATTAGAATTTTTTTATTGTTTATATACAGAAAATAATGGTGCTGATGCCAGATCTACTGATTGAATTAAGTGCACTTCTTCGAAGTTTTGTTTCAAACAACGTTTATGGATACAGGAAGCAAACATTTTAAAAGCAATAGATAATGCCTCATCTTTCTTTTGAATGACAAATTTTTGAACATCATAGTTGACAAAATGAGACTTTCTTTAGAGTTGATATCAAACTAAAAGATTTTGTGACAGAAAAATACCATTTAATGCTTTATTTCAGGAGACAATCAGAAGCTTTCTTCAAGCAAATATTTATCACAGGAGGATAATTTTAATTTTCTATAAAAATGTGTTTAGCCTCTCCATATGAAACCTGCGAAAATACAAAAATTAATTTTAATAGTTTTCATATCTGTGTTTGTGTGCAAATTATCAGTCATTTCAAATATTCAATAAAGTTTTCTCGTAAACTATATGTCACAGAATTCCCTTCCTTTGGATAATTTTTATCTACTCAAAGTATGAAAGATGACTATGCAGACATTATGCGTAATTAAAGGGGTACTCTGTGTGGCTACAATTTGCAAAATAAAGAGTTTCTAGAACCCGTTTGTAGCCCATTCTGATTCAAACTGTTTTGCAAAATTATCAATGTAAAATTTTTAGGTAATCATGTAGTATCCGATCTACCCCTTTCAGTTAGTTATTTATTATTTGAATGATAGCACTCAAACTGATTGTTTTTTAATCCTTTCTTTCGTCTGCCAATATTATCCTCCATCGAATTTAAAAGTAGCCTTTTATTGGTACCATTTAAGAAATAACTAACTAAAAACGCTAGATCGCGTACTACGTGATTACCAATATTTAAGTATGCAGATCTTAAACCGTGACATTAAACAACTATTATTATTTTATTGGTAATATTTACATATTTTGTTTGTCATCATAAAATACGGAAATGTGAAAAATAAGTACATATTATATATATATCTACATAATTGGCTCAATTAATTGATAAATAATGTATTGTTATACTCTTTTATTCAAATATTTTATAAAAAAAGTCATAGCCTACTCTAAGAACCAAACACTCAATTGTTGAATGAAATTTGCGTTAATTAAATTTGGATATTACAAAGCATTAGCATACTCTGCAGTTCATTTTTAAATTGATACGAAATGAAAGCATCATTCGATCATTCTGTGCTATGTCGCACTTTGAACAAAGCCGTTGAGCAAACAAACATTCTTTTACCAAACTAGATTCTCATACTTCAACTAGTCAACATTCTAATGTTTGACTTCTTATCCTCTAACTCCTTTTTAACCCAAAAGGGCAATTTACCCAGAAAGGCTATTCATTTTTTTTTGAGTAGTCCAATAAAAACAGCGTTCGCTTTTCAAATTGTTGCCACTAAATATTACAGGCATGCATTATATTTAAAGAAATTTTTAAAAAATAAAAAAATTTAAAGCTTTCGGATATTATATCACGCCCAAAGGGGCCTTTTTTTTTTCTTTTATCGAAATGGTTTTACTGTGTCAGCATTTTCATACAACCCAAGCTTTCCAAAAACAATGCTGTGGTCAGTGTACGGCAAATACAAAAGCATGCCTTTTAACACTATTTCCAGGAATATCAAGAGCACTGGAGCAGGTTTGTGTGTTCCGATAAACGCTGTTTTGTAGGCGATTAAGTAAATAACTTTTTACATTTCAAACAGAAAAAAATAAGTATTTCCCTCAAAAGCTTTGAACTTCGGAGTATTTGAAAAGATAAATAAAAAATATTCTTGAACGTGCGCTGACATTTCCCGTTTTTCTAAGACGTGACTTCCTTCACGATGGGAAAATAATAAAACCTGAGGATTTTTAAGTGTTACAAAAACACTAAGTGTCAAGAAAAATCAACAAACATTTTATTTAAAATGAATGACAATATCTAAAACTTCCTTCATTACATTAGTAAATAATGATATTTTTAATAAAATTTATACTTCTTTTATACAATGAATATATACTCTTTACATAATAAGTTATGATTCCTTTTTTTCACATGCATCGTAAATTGTTAAATTAAATTTATAGTTCACAAATCTCCGTATATTCATTTCTGGATAATTATTTTCATATCTAAATAAGTTTATTATTTAGTTACATGTTTAGTCACAGAAACTAAAGAGCTTATCCTTATAAAAGAAAAAAGAATAGATATAAAGTTTTTCATAAAGAACTGCTTTATATATGGAAAAATTTAACACTTTTAATTATATTTGCAATTGTCTAAAAATTTTCATTTTTAACTGCCCTTAAATGTAACATTGAAGAAAATATTAGATTCTTCCTAGCAACTAATAAATTTCCCCAATATTAATTAGCAAGCAAAACAATTTTACTGAAATTGAGCATCTTTACGAGAAGGATGATCATTTAAAAGTGTATAAACTATTAATCTATTTTAGCTGTGGTTTCAATTTCTTTCCAGGAAATTTTGTGGTGAAAGAAATATATTTTTGAACTAGCCTTCACCCATTGTACCTTACAGCACCAGTAGAGCATTGACTGAAAGTTTCCCGGGCTTCATTATAATATACTTGAAGTCTTCATTGAGGTTTTGTTTCATCAGCATGAGTCCTTTTTAACTCACATTTAATGCAAGCTGTTGAAATGAAAAAAAGTATATTATTAAAGGCATTATCAACTATAATTATAATTACGCATCAAATAGAAAAGTAGAAAATTGGATACTTCCACAAAATGTAAAAAAAAAAAGCAATAAAATAATTGCAAAACGAAAAGGCATGCCATAAGCCTATGTACATATGTGCGCATAAAACACGCAAGTTTCATCTGTTATACCTTAGAAAGTATTGAGAATTGAGGTAAAGCCACAACCTAAAGCTAGTATTGAGATAAAGCTAGAAAGAGCTAGTATTAAGATAAAGTTATATGAATGAAGAATAATATTTAATTAAAAAATCCTTTTCATATTTCTATGCTTAAAGTTAAATTAACGTTGCTTAAAGCCTTTAGTAACACTTACCTACAATGATGGTACCGATAAATAGCATTGAACAAAAGAAAATATTTGATGAAAAGTCTCCATATGATTGCAACATTCCTGAAGATATAATAGTCAAGATTATACTGAATATCTGAAAAATGAAATTAACAAGCATCAGAAGTGCAGTTATGTAAGGAAATTTTAAATAATTATAGTCAAAAATCACGGTCCGTACATTTATTTGATCTGATAAAATGTTTATTAGCAGAAATTTCAGTCATGGGTCCAAGTAAAGAATTTAGAAATTTACTTTCAAAGTAATAGGAAAGTTGTAGGCACTGAATTATTATAAAAATTTCATTAGACTATACACATTACTGTTTAACAACATAATGTAACTACAAATGTTTCTACTAAAATTTATCGATTAAAAGAAAAAAAAATGCTTCAGACTTCTTTGTATGTTTACTTACTGTTTCGAGTAAAATTTCAATACTTTTATACGCTGCTTACTTCTTTCCAAATTAACATATTCATATTTTCCCAAAATAACATATTCATTTCTGTTAAAACAGAATTACTTCATATAAAATACATTATTCTGGATTAAAACACAATTGGTTCAAATCTGTAAATAAATACTGGTAATTTAATAATTTCAGTTCCCTTTTCTTTAAAACTTTTTCCGTTTAGTTGGTTCGATTTTACTATATAACATCATAAAATAGGATATGATAATGCTTCTTGCACAAGAAATACCCAAAGATACATGTTGTTAAAATGAAAGATGGAATATCTGTATGGTATGAATATATTTGCTGACTGCCTCAAATAAGATGGAGCTAGAAGCATCCATTCCCAAAACTTTCTAAGTAATTTTTCAAATCTTCTTTCTATAAGGATGGTATTTAGGAGTTTCTTACTGAACCCGCGAAATCACGTTAAAACTTATCTCCGTAAGCCCACTTCCCTTTAACTTTTATTCCTGTAGCTCTCATAAAATAATCAAGCAGAGTTTCTCATGACCCATGCTAAAAATATAAAATTTTGCAAAGAAACAATCAAAGACTCCGAAGTCATGTTAAGGAAGTAACTGTTAAAATATATACTTTCATATTTTGGAAGAGATACATGATAGAAAATCTCACATAACATCTTCTAATTGCCAAAGCGATGTAGAATACAAACGAGTCATACACATATGAAAACACGTGTGCATGTGCAAGTATACAGGGTCTAAAGGAAAGTGTGTAAGAGTCCCTTCTTATTTCAGAATAAATTGTCCCAAACCGTACGAATTAGCTATATCTGTTTCAGAGTGATCCAGCGCGTCAAATATACCACTCTTACTTTCCTAGCAGAAAATTAAGGGGTTCCTAAAATCTAACTCTGCAATGAAATAAATGTAATTACAATGTTGCACAGCCTCATCTTATTACTATGAACCAACATCTAGAAATACACCAATTTACAATACCTATTACTCATTCAATGTAATAGACTACAAAAACAGTGATTTGACACAAACTTTACTGCATAAAAATCATGCTTGGAATACTTCTACCATATGTGACGAAATCTGAAAACCTCTGCTAGTTCGCAATTTTCAGTAAAAGTTAATCGACATATCTGGCTTCGCGCTTCTATGACCTAACTTCGAAAATGTGCATACTAAGCTAAGAGTCTGTAATGCTCAAATTTACACCGGAGATTATTGTTTTGCTGATGTGGTTATACAATACTAGCGTATTTTGAGGCAACGAAGTATGTTGTAAACAGCTTTCTTAGCTGAATGTGAAATCAACATAAAACATACCATCTTAAATAATCTATGTTAAAACTATTTATTACACAGGTCTCAAAGTACTATAATCTCACGCTACGTCCCATAAGAGGCTTTGAAGTGATTTGCGTATACCTTAGTGCAAGTGCTCCAATTTAGTATACATATAGTAATGCCCTTGATTTTGCGGGCCTGGACGTTTGTCTCTTCAAATGATATTGGAAGCCGTTTCTAAGAATAATTTTTTTCCATTCTACATGCGAGCACTGAAGTGATGAATGAAGTGTATGCATTAAAATTTCAGTTGGGTGTGGCAGATTCTGAGAAAGAGTGGTGTTCATCATGTGCGAGAAAAAGTTGGTAAAAAAGAAAATGTTTTTTGGTTCTCTACTGTATGGAATGATTATTTTTTTTTTCATATCAAATTCAAAATTATTAGCAAATTCTACTTATCGGTTTACCACGTGCACGATTTTGACTTTCGTTGCTTCTTTCCACGTGGCTATTGGTTTTCAGTATTGGATGTTTCTCTCCTTTTGGAATGTTTCTGTCATATGTTGATGAAAATTTGTCTTCATTATTTATTGGTGTTTTTTCATGTTATAAGTAATTCCTTTTTTGTACTTTCGGGATTATAAATCTTGTTTCTTTTTCTAAATTGTCAAAAATTATAATCTCTCTGGTTAATTAACTCTCTTTTCTTTCATTTACTTCAAATGTAACATCAGTTTTGTTATAATTGCACTTGTGTTAAAGCTATACATTTTGTAACCGATATAAATTCTATGAAAACATAATCAATCAATCAATTTGCAATCATTCAATCAATTGATTTACGTTAGAACATTTTGCATTAAAGCATTTTTGAATTGATGTAATTAGAAAATGCTGTAACTGTACAAGCTTGTAATCCATTTTTGGAATAAAGTAAGAAAGTTTTCTGTAGTAAGAAATAGCCATGAAAAGTTTCAAAATGTGTTACCCGACAGCACTATCTAATTTCCTATTGATTGATCCGCTAAGAAATGGCACTAATCACCGATGGCTTACTAGGACAGTGTGAAAAGGACTAAAAGATTGTGTATTAGAGAAGCATCAAGATAGATGTTTTCCCTGCTAATTCATTTCTAATGGTACGAAGAGCTAATTTTATTGCTGCATCACATCGCAATGTAAAGTTGCACTTTCTGCAACCTTGCATCACTTCTTCGAAAGCATTTGCCCTATTGAAACACACGTAGGGCAAATGCTTTCGAAGACTCCTTTCCCTTTATTTTTCTTCTTTCTAGGCATTTCTTTCTCCTGATGAGGAGGGACCTTTAGCTGCCCTCGAAATCGATTGAGTGTTTCAATATACTTCCGCTAAATACAAGGTTGTTTTTACGATTTTGATTGTCACATTAGCGTGTTTCTCTTCTAGTCTAGTTTGTGCTATCAACCGGCATTTTCGAAAATATTTTACTCTTTATTGTTTTACCACGTGACCATTTTATTTACTTCTTTCCACGGGGCTATTAGTTTTTCGGATTTGGTTTATGCTATCAACCGGCATTTTCGAGCAAATTCTACTTATCGGTTTACCACGTGCACGATTTAGACTTTCGTTGCTTCTTTCCACGTGGCTATTGGTTTTCAGTATTGGATGTTTCTCTCCTTTTGGAATGTTTCTGTCATATTTGAGAAATTGTCTTCATTATTTTTGGTGTTTTTTCATGTTATAATTCCTTCTTGTACTTCGGGTTATATTCTTTTGTTCACTGGTTTTGCTTGTACCCTTTTCACAATATGTCCACTGACAGGAACGATTTGTAAGTTACGCCTTAAGCGTACGAAATTCTGAATCATCTACATTTCTACTTAATGCAAACTCAAATATCATTTCCCAAATTATACATGTGGGAATGTAGCCTTAAAGCTTCCGTTCACGTTTCAAAATTTGCATAATTCAAATTGGCACTTCTTCGTCATATATAAGGGACACCGCAAACATTTACCTAAAATTGAATTTGAATTATATTACCTCCATTTAAAATTGTTAATTCTACTGAAAAATTTTCCTCATTTGAACATACATCCTGGTCAGAACCGATACGTTTGTCAACGGCATAAAAATGTGCTTATTCTAATCCTTAAGCTCACACACCAGTCGAATAGCCCACCTATCTAGCTAATCTTCCCACTGTAACGCTAACCCATCGTTAATATTCCAATAGCAATCTTTCGGAGGATCAGTTAAAGTATTAAAATATAATTTCAACTTTCAAAGAAATCGAAACCTTCAATTCCTCAAATCATCGCCCCTATAGAGAAAGCCTTTAAATTCTCCAAAATTTCGGAGACGCAGAAGGATACAATCCGCCACCTAATTACTCATAACGTTAATTTTAACCAACAAATCTTTGGGTTTGAATCTTAGCAAAAAGGAAATGAGATCTTACGTGAAATTCATTCTGATACTAATATCATTATCTCTAAATCTGATAAAGGCGGACAGATCGTTGTTATGGACAAACACACATATATTACTGGAGTCTCTAAACTGATAAGTGAAGGCCCATACTGCTCGATCTCTAAAGATCCTTCAACTTCGGACCTCACGAAAGTTAAAAGTGCTATCAAATCTTCTCATATTCTGCCAACGCAGTTGAAGAAATCACTTATTCCACCTATTACTAATTGCGCTAGGCTTTATGCTCTTCCAAAAGTCCACAAAACCGGTATTCCTTTTCGACCAATTGTTTCCAACATCGGTACTGCTTCATATCCTTTGGCAAAATATTTAGTTTCCAGATTTTCTCCTCTACTTGCTAACAATATTCACACTGTAAAAAATTCTGTTGAAGTCAATGATAAACTTAAAAACATTTCTCCACTTCGTTTCATTATGGTTTCATTTAATGTCAAATCACTGTTTACTAATGTTCCGGTCGAAGGAGCACTAAATTGTCTTGAAACTAGGCCTCAGGAATTTCACTTCACACATACTGAAATTAATGAGTTGATTTCGCTTACTAAAGTCTCTCTGAGTCAAACCCACTTTGTTTTCCAAAATGCATATTTTCGTCAAGTTGAAGGATTGGCTATGGGGAAGCCTCTCAGTCCGGACCTTGCTGACATTTATATGCACTATTTTGAGATGAAATTATTTGATAAACTATCTTTTTGTCTTTGGATTCGGTACGTTGACGACACTTTCGCACTTTTTTGACGGTTATAAAGAATATTTATCCAAGATTCTATCTATTATGAATTCAATTGATCCAGCCATCCAATCCACTCTTGAAATTGAATCCAACAATTCCCTCCCCTTCCTTGATATTCTTATAATCCGCAATGAAACTGATTTTAGCACTACTGTGTACCGTAAACCCTTTGCAGTTTGTTTACCACGCCATGCCAAGTCATGCCACTCTGTTAAGCAAAAAATGGCTTCTTTTTACTATTATGTATTCCGTGCGCTTAAGGTTTGTTCCTCTGAATCTTTACTTATTATTTGAATGATGACCAATGAACTTAATTATTTGAGAGCAGTTGCGATTGACCCTGGATCCCGTGATTATTGATAAAGCCGTTAAAAAATTTTCAGATTCCCATCAAAGAAGACATTCCACTGTTAGAAATAATATTAATGACCTTGTCGTGCTACCGTTTTATCCTTCTGTTAGCTATAAAATTGCACGGATTCTCCAGAAATTCAATTTTTCAAGTCGATTTTTCCCCTATTAATAAAATTCACCCTTCGATTCTAAAAGATTGCGTTTCTGTCTTGAATTCTTGGAGAATTTATAGTATATCGTGTCAGTGTGGTTTAAGATATATTGGCCAAACAAAAAGAGCGTTGAAGTTTCGTATCAAGGAACATGAATCTTATGTCAGAAAAGGCGAAATCAACAAGTCTTCAATAGCGTATTATAGTTGGACATTTAACCATAATTTTGACTTTGGGTCTGCAAAAATTATCCAAAAGGCTTCTTCCATAGGTGAATTGGATTTTCTTGAGGCTTTTCATATTCACAAAGATTTAGCATGTTTAGTTAATGATTTGAAGTCCAATCCAGTCCTTCCTAATGCCTTTAAAATTCAGCTATCTTAATTCAGTTATTTTTGCCGATAGATGGCGTTAGCTCCTCGCGTTTGGTACTACCAGAGGGTATAAAAATCCGTTCAGTGTTTGCATTCCATTATTCGAAGTTCAGATTTTGAGCGTGAAGGAGCAGTTGCCCCTCTCTCCCTATTTTTAACTTCGCTAATTTTTCTTGTCCTTTGTGTTACATGTTTGATCAGATAGCCTGGCTCAGTAAAAGTAGGCGGCCAGTGTAACTCTGATTAAAAATCCGGTTATAACCACGTGCAGTGCTGATAAGGACCACGTGTTTCTGAGACTCCTTCCCCTTTATTTTTCTTCTTTCTAGGCACTTCTTTCTCCTGATGAGGAGGGACATTTAGCTGCCCTCGAAATCGATTGTTTCAATATACTTTCGCTAAAATACAAGGTTGTTTTTACGATTTTGATTGTCACATTAGCGTATTTCTCTTCTAGTCTACAACGTGTGGTTATATTATGACATAACCAGACCTTGAGTGGCACAATCAACACAGAATTATCTTGCTGCGAGTGGCAACGTCTTCAACATCCTAACAACCACTTTTTTAGACCCTCATTCATCATTAGAGACACCATTGGAGACAGATACACACGTTTCGCGAATGGCCCAGATGCTGAACATGACGTTGTTATGTGGCTACTTTACTAACCTAAAGACTTGAAAGCAGTAGGTATTCTCATATATAGAATGAGATAGATGTGTTAGTATAAGTTAGAATCATGTTAAAAAATAAAAATGATTGCAATATCAGTATTTTAAGCATTTTTATTTCTGCAGCAATTTGTTCACTATTTTATTCATTCCAATGCTGTTTCTCTAAACTGAACTAAAACTTAGTGGAGTAAAATATCAACTATCTAAATCAACTTACTATGAAAGAACGTAGTAATCTTACATTTTCTTATTTTTAGTGTAAGTTTTGAAGAGGCTGGTTCAATTTAACAGGTATTTTTTCAAAGATAAATAAAAGTTGAAAAAGAGCTTACGCGGCATATTTTGCTATAGGTCTTCAATTAAATAATTATTAATATGAATATTAATGCAGTATAAGGGGATCGGTCAATGAACGTAAGCGAGTATTAACGATGGCTTCAGAAGTTCTAAGCCGTAAACTATAGCCTAGAAGAAGAGCCTCTTCCTTAAAGATCTGTAGAGAGCTCTGCGAAGACGTCCTGTAAACCTTGGTGGAACAAATTCCCTAAAAAAATATTAGGAATTAGCAGAGGATATTAAAAAAACTGTATTTATCTTGGGTAAAATAAAAGAAGTATAAAAAACGCATTATTTGTGAAATTAACCCATATTTATTGACTACCCCGAGTATGCATTCAAGTACAATTCAGATTTTGATAATCGTAATTGAGTTATTAACTGGACATGGTGTTTCTTAATAATGTTAATTAATACATATATGGTTTATTAATAAATTTGATGTTTATTAATGAATAACTTGATACATTGTTTATTAATAGATTTCATTTCTGGTTTAAGAATTGAAAGTTTCTTTTGGCCAGTGTTTTTTATTGCTTTTTTGTTATGTGCATTTATATATGATCACAGGAGTGAATAATTCGATAATAGCAAATAACTTGATCAGTCAGTCAGTCAGCTTCTCTTGAAGTGTACAGAGTATTCATGTGTAACGTAAAGTGATTCTAAAACTAATTCCAATCCTAAATTAAACAGTTTTTAAAACTCAAGTCACACTACTTTCCATATATCTGTTAAAGGAGTAAAATTTATAATTAAAATTTTGAAAGAAATGTCCTTATGAAGTGTACTCAGTGGTTTTTGATTGTTCTATTTTCACAAACTTATTTCAGAATTTTATAAGAAAAGTTTTTTATTTAGCCTCTTTTATCTTACATTGTCAAACAAACAACATTAACTGCCAATGTTTAAAACATCAGCTTCGTAATTCTTTATTAATGTAAGATGACTATTTTATTTCATATCAAATTCTTGTTTCATTTTCGAAATTTCCAATAATTATAAACCCTCTGATAATTAATTCTCTCTTTTTTTACATTTAAACAAAATACGTATTCTTAATCACAGAAAATATGAGCATAATAGTAACTTCCCTGTTGCATTTTCTCTCATAAGTAAAACTTACAATATAGACTTATGAGTTAGTTTAACACCTTTTTCATATTATACTTTTTAAACTGCCCCAATAAAAGTATATTAAGTATGCTCTGTAAGCAAAGAACGGAACTTATCTGAAATATTTTAAGAACTGCTTTATCTTAAACGGTCTTTCATTATATCTTAATAAATTTAACGTACGAAATTATTTGGTCATATATTTTTCGTAAACATACGACATTAAGTCAATAAAATTTCCTACTTAGCAAATAACTAAAACACAAAAATCATTGAAGTAAATTTATAGCAAATCCTTGTTTCCTAAAAGACACTTTTTCAAGTTTATGATTGACTCATAGGACTTTTAGGAAACAAGACACTTTTAGGAAACAAGAAAAACAGAAACTCATTATTAAAACAAAAGCATCATCATTTCATTCAAAACCTTCGCACTGATAACAATTCATCTAAAGTTGGAAGATACATTTTGGAAAACAAATCAGGGTAAAATACATTTTGGACAAGAGTTTTATACCTGAGTGGAAGCGTTAAGTAAACTAGCCGACATTGCTTCTGATTCTGGGTATGTTATTTCTGCTCCAAAATCAAATCCCACGGGAAGATAGCCAGTCATGATAAAACTATAAAGAAAGAATTCTTAATTTTTACTTCAATATAAATTATTACTTTTACTAATGGTCCAAATAAGCTTTGTATTTCATCAAATGTCGATATCTGCAAACTTCCGAGTATTATTTACTACAATGAATTGGGAAAATAAGATGAAATTGTAAACTTTACTTAAATCAAAAATTATATAATAGAAATAATTGAAGTATTAAGCCAAAAATTATTATACTGGAAAACCAAAGTATTTCCTTTCCTCTGGTAATATGGGCAGTTTATTAGGGCTTACATTAAAATAGCATTTTATCTTAATTTTCTGCTATTTCAACTAGTTAATAAGCATTTACAAATAACAAATATTACATCAAAAAATATAACTACTGTTCACTTTCCAAATAAACTTACATAATCCTTAAAATATATTTATATACCAAATTCCAATTAGCACTATAATAATTGCTTTAAAAAACTGGATCCATTAATTGCTGCAAGAAAACTATTGAAAGCTCTGATGATGATTAACTAAATAAATTAAATTTTAAATAAAATGTAAGTAAAACACTAAACATTTGTTTAATATTATTTCTGCATTCAGTATCAAGAACTAAATAAAATTTGAATTTCCTAAACGCACGAAATGTTTTAAACTATTATTAGTTTCAGAATAAAATTCTAATGAAATAAAAAAATTAATGTTGAGGGTATATTATTTATAGCTTGAGATATAAGTGATCAGAATTGTATATTGTCTCATACAATGAAAAATAAACAAATACAGAAAGAAATTTAGCGCTCCGAGAATCTACTGCAGCAGCTGATTCCTGTCTATGTGTCCCTAATCTTGAACAAAAATTATATCTTCAGAATTTTTATGCCTGAGGTCGAGAGCACTACTTCGATATGTGATTCAGTGCAATCGTTTTAATATGTGTATTTCGATGTGAAAAATGGCTTCGGAAAATTCATCTCTGATAATTGTTGTGAAGTGCATAGCCGCAAGGTATATTGATGACAGTGTCTTAACTTTGTTCAGTGTTGGTTGCAATTATGCTGCTCATGGGAAACAGGAGAATTACTTAACATCCCACAGCATGTAGAAGCGGATATTGTCTTGTTCATAAGAAGCAATAGATATTGCCTAAAATTAGGTGAAAACCTTAAACTCTCGGTGATGTGTCGTTATATCATAGTAATGTATATCATAGTATGTGTCGTTGTATCATAGTAACATATAATTTTGCGCTTAAGAGAACTAACGTATCAAAACCCAATTATGCCTACTTTTGCTAATAGAAATTCATTGCAACCTGATCAATGCATCCCTCCAATTAACATTTTTTTTTATAATCTTCGAAAAACGATGATGCTGGGAAGAGGAATGTTACTGATTCTACGAACTGCTTCGTAACAGTACGTACCACAGTAATCATTTATGTATCCAATATATTATTTTTGACCCCACAGTGGACTACAGTGACTCATATGCGGAGGATAGTGTTTAATACTCTTATGTGTATTAAATGGCCACAAACACAAATGGTATTTTCAGATATCTCCCAACGTATAGTGGCCGCTCGGTGAAATACTGATATTAGATGCAGGACATTTCTCAGTCATCTTCCATGCGGTTAGCGAAGCGGTATCTCCACAAATTCTTCTGCAATAGGTTGTTCATCTTGCCTGCCTCTGACCACTGACAACATCAATTTACGTGAAAGTAAATTGCCTTCTATCAAACGCAGGCATTAAATTGTACTTTAGATTTGAAGTTTCCTGTTCGCATGGTGGTAGAAAAGCTGGTTACCATAGCCTTAGGCCCGGCTTAGAATCCGGGAGAAAAATACGGATTTTCTAAATATTGTCTAAACAACTATAATGGCTAATCCAACTACATGTGCAACCACTGAGCTCTTGGCCAAGAAGAATTTGAGGACGTAATCTGATGTTTTGTCAGAAAGGCGAGGTAAGAACAACAGAACTCCGCAAGTATCTTTATAAAGAATCAGTCACGAAGAAATTCATAACAAAAAATTCTGATGTGAAACTCCATGATTTCCTTGCACGCTTTACGCCCCATGATTAAATTATACGCTTTTCTTGCAACATTTCGTTTAAACTTAGTTCTCGAATTATTCTAACTTGAAAAACCGATCCCTCGAAGCAAGTTGAGAATGATACCAAGAACTGCAAATATTGAAATTAAGTATCCATCTCAATTTTTGTCGTACGGAAGTCAACCTTCATATAATTTATTTTTTCACAACTAGTATAAAACTTTTCCAACGTGGAGAATACATTAAAAGTTAGATTTCGTTATTTGTGAAAATTATTTTTATTTAACATTACCCAAAACCTGAATATTTTCGTCATTTAAAACACTCCATTAATTTAAAGTATAGGACTACGACCAAAGGCCGAGAAAGGAATTTAAGCCTTGTAAGAAGATGGGTATAAATATATGCATGTTTGGTACTGCCTACTGCAATAGAAAATAGAGGTACACAAATAAATATTACAGCAGTCCCATATAACAAATTTCAACGTTCTACAGCTAATCTTGAGTTATTCGAGATGCACTCGTACATGCATATGTACGATGATACATGCATACGTACGTGTAGAGCGATGTCTCGAAATTCCCAATGCATTTAAAATCCCTTTCACAATTCGTGTTAGAAAAAAAAAAGAGTCCTTTGCGTACAGACGTCACGAAAAAACATTCTCTAAGTGGATGCGGGAGCTGTCAAAATGCCTATTTCCTTTGAAATATGATACTTGAAAGTTTTTGCAATTAGTTTTAGTAATTGAAAAAATTACTAAGTAATAATAAGTTTTTGCAAATAAGCAATAATTAATTAAGACACAATAACACGCAACACAAATACTAATTCAGAACTCAAACAACAAAAATCAGCGTTATATTTTCAAATTTTCACAGGAATAGTTTCGATGGTTTTACTGAACCACCATCATTTGCGCTTTTGCAGCTGACGATGGTGGTTCGGTAAAACCATCGAAACTAGTCCTGTGAAAATTTAAAAATATAAGGTTGATTTTTGTTGTTTGACTTCTGAAGCAATGATTAGTTTTTGCAAAGTTTTGTTTTACTTCGTACAAGGAAATAAAAATTGCCATCTTCTGCTCTAATGGCTGTTGCTTGAATCTTCTGCTTTGAAAGCTCTAATTTCTGACGATATTTTATGACACCTCTGGCGAAATATCGATAAATCATTTAAATATTATATCGTGACAATCATAGTACATAAATACTTAGAGTTCCCCTTCAAATGTATGGTGTCATATTGTTTGCATTTTACGTATTATCTATCATCTTTTCACGCAGTATGTGGAAACTTAATGAACAACATTATAGATCAATCCCAGGTTAGAATAATAATTTGAAATGTGTTTGGAAGTTGAGTAATTTTGTATAGCTAAATACTCTAAGAAGCCTCCTGACCTCTTTAAAATACTGGGACTTATTACTATTCAAATGTATTTAATAATTATTTCTAATTTTCAGAAGTGAAATCAATAAAATATTTCACTTAAGTATAAAAAAATTTCATAAAAATTTTCATTTGGTTAATTAACTTCATTCAATGATTAGTTTAAACTAGGCTGCATTTTTCTTCAATTCACCGAGAGATGTTTGATTCACCATTCAACTCTAACCAATAGTTTATGAACAAAAATCGGGCTCATCATACATTACATTATTAAGAAAAAGTCCATAAGAAATTATCTGTATATGAATTTGGTATCAGTTTATCAATTTCAGCGCTTTGAACAATTTTTTCACTGTCATTGCAGGATTTGCATATTTAATTACTGCTATCACATTTTTATTATCCACTCTCCTTTTCTCTAGTTGTTACATAACTGTATTCATTAAATATGTCACACAGAACGAAACGTTTATAGCACTTACCCCAAAAGAGTAAATAAAAGAAACTGTATCCAAATAATATTCAGTTGAATGAGACCGGTGTAGGCAATTAAAAGTAACAAACTCGTGATAAATGCGAATAGTGATATCTCTCTGAAACAATAATATATGAGATAATTAATATTACATTAGTGCAATACAGTACATAGATAACTTCAGAGTTGTTACATGAGCAATGGGATTGTTGATTATCATAATAGTAATTAATCAGTTAATTTCCGAAAAAGAAGCTCGCGGACTCAGATAACATTGCAAACAACATATTCTAAAATCTTCCAAGAAACGAACAAGAATTGCACGTTTTTGTTTGTTCATTATTTCAGCAACCCATTACCTAGTTATGTACATTTTTGCCACATTTTGTTTTCATAAAGTAGTGTAGGATCTGCCTGTTCCAGAACCCGTAAATCTGTCAGATGGCTTTCTTTCCTCAGAAGATTTTTTTTAATTTACCACCTTAAGGAGATGTATAGCTTTAATCAAATTCTTCTCCAATAAAAAGAATGTGATTTAGAAAACATTTCGCCACCGTTAAATACTTCGTAAAATACAAGCTGTGCTCTGTATAGTATTCAGGCATAGTTACCGTCTCACTGGATGTAATCAAGAATTTGGCTTTAAAATCTTCATTACATAGTCTAAATTCCGAACCCTAAAAAGATGTGACTATTAACTATTTTCTATATTATTAATAGAACACTTAATGCGAGACATTAAAATTACTTTTTCATAAATAATTATATAAAGGCTATGGTCATCAGACTCTACATTTGAGAAATGTGGCTTCATAAAATGGCATTCCAAAACTTGATAATCATTGGGAATGCGTAGTGATCTCACGAGTCTGCAGTCATGGCGACATATAGCGTCCGCGTTTTATCAAGCACAAGGTAAATTAACAAAACTATGAAATGTTAGACCGATTGGAAGACAAATGTCAGCTTGAGATTTTATATATTTTAAAATACATGACCATGATTAAAATTCAAAATTACGCCAAATATATCAAAAGAACTAAGAAAATAAATTAACTCATTGTAGTTATCAACAGTAACTTTCTTCTAAAACCTCATTCAGCACGATATAAGATGAAGCTATAGGTGGTTGAACAAACTCGGATTTTTTTTTATTGGAAAATCTCTAATCCGACATGCAAAGGTATTTATTAATTTATTTATCCTTTCACCACTTCGCCATTAAATGGTTCTACAGATTGAAAATATCCTGGTTACTGCCAGTCTCTCGTTTGCTTATTTTTTTTTCAATTTTTCCTTTCTTTTTTTCTTTTTTGTCTGCCTGGAAAATTGGTTGAATAGTCCATCAACAATTTTAGTTCTTTGTAATCTATTAAGTAAACCTACTGGATTTCCGAAGTCATCGCTGTGAATCTTTCAGGAGTTGTCAAGCATATGAGTAGAGCAAAAGTTTCGATGTGTGGCATTTCTCAATCGCTGGTAAATTTCCATAAAAGGACATATAAAACGTCATGTTATCTGCAGCCACAGAGTAAAACATGTAATGCATCGGTGACTTTTGAAGCAGCCTACCGTCAGCAAGTCCTATGTTACAGGCTACTTAGGATTTGATACACTAATGTTGCAATTTTATGCCTCTTTGTGTTACATTTTAAAGCCTATTTCAAGGGCTATCACATTCTTTTGTTCTTTATTTTTGAGCAGTTGTTTCTAAAGGCTTTTGTTGAATGTGTGAAAAACTTTCAAATACTGATAGCACAACATGCATATTAAATATCGTATGAGCTTCTAAGCTCTGCTTGTTATCTGTCGAACATGCGATGCTCTGCATCATATCATTCAAGCAATACTCACTGCCATACAACAAGTATACCGACTACCAAGAATGTAATGAGCCTTTTAACGTAAAGACATTTTAATTCATAAAAGCAGTATGTTTGCCATTCTACGGCTGCATAAATTCGCGGTATACTCGCGCGCGAACTACTTTTATTCTTCCAGTACGTATATTCATTTCTCACAATTCAAAGGGATAACGAAATGACACATCGTGCACCTATTTTGTTCACTTGTTTGACTACCCCTGAAAGTTTCCTGGCGATTGTCCACGGGTCCCATAGTTTTTCTTTAAGATGAAACCTTAACTGTGAATTTAACTCTCCTTAAAAAGTTCGGTTTCTAATTAGGTCTCACCTGCTTGGATTTAAGCCTTCCACTTAGTATGTCTGGAAGCTGAAAATATATTTCAAAGGGTGATTTCAAATCATTCTTACAACGGAAATTTTATTTCCTAAGAAGACTAGAGGTCTAACCTGTCCATGAATTTTTTCCGATTTCTAATTCTAAATTATACTGTTGAGCAGTTAAAAGCAGAATTATCAAACTCTGAAGACATTCTTAATAAATAACTGTAAGTAGGATTCTCATTTTCGCTGTCGTTTTCCAGTTCTTCATTGATATAAAATACCATAGGAAAAAACCTTTTACGTTATGTATTCTTCCAGTACTGAATATTCTTAATTCCAATACCAAGTACTCTTACTTCAGCATTAACTTAGTACTCTTCATAACAGTTTTTCATATGAATCACCTTTTGCTCAACTGTTGATCGGCGAGTCAAAATACATCATTCGAAATCTTCAATAGTGCACGCAAGCATCTAAGCATGGATGTTGTATCCCAATACATACTTACTACTTTTGCAATTCTAGTGCTTCTTGGAAGAAAGTGAAATTATGAAATATTAAATATAAATTCTAGTGAAAAATACATCTTAAAATTTCTTACTTAAATTTGTGCGTTTTATCTAGTAGAGCACCTAAGAGAACTGATCCAATCATTCCAGCGAAGACCATCAGGGCACCCATCCACCCAGCATCATCCACTTCCTCGCCCTAAAGTTCATGCCATTATTTACAAACAAGAATGAATAAAAAATTTTAATTTATATATATATATATATATATATATATATATATATGGGGGGATGTATTAATCAAACATTATTACTGAAAAGTTAAAACTGATTACGTTGGTCTCCAAACATTTAGATTTATTGCTCAAGAGTGGAGAATATTTACTGCGATCTGCAACGTTAATAACATCTTGCATACATACTATAAACATTTATCAGTTTGTCATCCCAACATTTCAAGTCTTGTCATTATCTATATATATATATATATATATATATATAAAGAAGAAAATATGTGTGTTTATTCGCTAATAACTCAGTCACTACTATAGCTGTAGTCACCAAACTTTCTAGATTTCTTTTCAGGGTCCCGAAAAGGTCGACGTCCACTTTTTTCCACAAAAAAAAAACCCTAAACCAGAGATAATAATTAAAAACGCTTAAAACGGTAATTTTCGGCCTCATTTTTCCGAGTGGCAACAGCGCTGATACCAGCAACAATGTCAACAGTGATATATTAGCAACAATGTCAACAGTGATATATTAGCAACAATGTCAACAGTGATATATCAGCAACAATGGCTGCGTGCCATTGTTGCTGATATAATGAGAGAGAATCAATTTATTTAGCTATAGAAATTTTTACATGGGTTCCATATCGCATCAGACTGAAAAATGTATGACTATGAATCGTATTTTTTGCTCAAAATAATCATGTATTTGTTTTATGTTTGCTGACCCAAATGGCAATTCCATACGTCATATGGGTATATATATATACCTAGAATTCTAAGATTACGTAGTCAGTTGTGGTACAGGTATTGAAGATTACTTTGTTTCTTTGGCATTTTTATGCATTACAATGACGCATCATATTTCTTATGACGTGTAATATGCTATTATAATTTTCAAATGATGTCATCAGTAAAATAATACCTTGCTCTCAATCTAACTTAACTGGTATCGGTTACTTCCGTTAGTGCTAAATAAATGTCGGCTTTATATTATTCTTCGCATTTTCTGTTTACTTTATGTTTGTTTCTTCAAGTAAGTAAGAAACCCAGCTGTTTAAGAGTAGTGCAATAGTTGCAATTGACAGATAATTCTCAGATTGAAATCTTATCATCTCAGAGTAAAAAAAAAAAAAAAAATAGTATTTCTTTTTGAATGATTGTAAGAATTATCTTTCTTTCAATCAATTAGTTATGTAAATTTCTTGTATTTTACATATGTTTAATTTTCGTGCCTTTTTATCTTGTACTAAAAAAATTGCAAATATTAATAATCGATTCCAGATACGAACGCAAATGCACTCCTGGTTTATCTATAGTATTCTTTGTTAGGGTGACTTAGTATACATTGCTCAAACAAGTAAAATCTTTAAATTTCGTATCAAAGAGGACGAAACTTCCTTTCAAATAAACGAAATTTATACATCGTCAACTATTGGTTAAAAAATTATATTTTTTGTTTCTCTGCAGCCAGAAGTGTTCGAAAAGCGATTTCAGTTGGCTGATTAGATTTTTGCAAGGCATTTATTTCATTTACATAAAATTCTTTCAGTTCTGGATAATGATCTCAATTCTTATCCCTCTTTATCATCCGCTGGCACATCAGCGGCCGAGCGGTCAAGTCGCTGAAGACCGGTAGTTCGGTCCGAGGTACGAATCCGCGAACGGGCTGGCTGCATAGCGATTGTGTATGCCTTAGATAGTCCTCTACGAAAGCATCCCTCTCTTTAGGTAGAGAGCCCTTGATGCTTTGTCATAATCACATAACCGAACCTAATGATCTGCTTTTCAGAAATTAATTGCTTAGTTACTCTGTGCTCATTTTTTTTTCAATAGATGGAGCCAATGATATCGTTTTCTATCATTTTGTTAAAATTTCGATTTGTTTACTGTTGTGCTAAATAAAGTAAGCCCATTTCATTTTCATAATGTTTGTCTCCGACTCTGAAGTGAAAGGCTCTAGTTAATCTTCGAAACTATTACTCTGCATATTTGTTCAAGTTACGTCAATTCCTGTTGACTGATAATAACTTCTTTAACATTTCAGATCGATTAACTCTGTACAATGTCGCAGCTGTTTACCTAAATAATATCTTCTCAACCGTTCTTGACTTAACTGCCACTCCTTGCTATATATGTATCAATGGATGTTATTGCTGCACAGAAAATAAAGAGCAGCTAAATAGAAAGATTTAAAATTCTATAAATAATAAAGCTTATGGTTAAACTAAAAATAATATCCGACACAATACTTAAAGGATTGGCTCCGTCGAGACAAGAATACACAAGTAATTCTAACAGTTTTGCAATCTAGCTGATAAGCAGTTTAACACCTGAATGTTCGCACTAATTAATTTTAATATCCACTTACCACAAGCAAGAAATCTTTGAGTTGCAGTGGAGAATAAAAAAAGAACAGTTACATAATAATGACAAATGAGCTTTTCCAGCAACTAATTTCTTAAGATCCAGTAAAGGTTAAAATTAAAAAATCTCAATACTTAACATCATTCTGCTTTAAATGAAATTTACAAGAGCTTCTGGGCTAATAGAAATTCTCTGGTGGATCCCCAGAAGCGAGAGCACAATGTGAAAACTTGAAATTTAAATGAAATATAATTATCCTCAACGGAAATATTCTTTTAAATATAATTTGTATGTTTAGTATAGTTGTATATGATTCTTTGATGGAACTGTTATTTCTTTTCTTTAAAAAGGTTAGATATTTTCATAAGCAAATTCAATGCAGTTTTTTTAACTTGTAGGCATTATTTTAATTTTTAATAGTTATTTTTAATTTGGAAATCCTTTCCTTTAAATTCTTGTTTCCCTCCCACAACTCCCAGAATGAGATTTCAGTATCGCGTTTTATGTAACCGAAGCAGAACCAGATTTATTGGGAAGTTCAGTAACTTCCATAGAAGAGCTCAGAAGTTCTCAGTACAGTGTGTTCTGTCTTCGGGTCTGGTAGTTGCTTTAAGCATATCTTACTACGTTCAGCCGTTCGTGCCTGTTAGTATTCGTCAGCGAGGTTTACGGGCCAACTCTGTCAGTTATTTCTGTACAGCTTCGGCTAAGTTTTAGTTGTAAGGGTTGTTGTAAGAGTTGTCGAGAGGGGCCGACTATTATTATTTCTTTCGGAATAAAAGTGTATTTTAACCCTTCTGTGGACTTTATAGTTGTAAGAAGACCATCGAATAGTCACAAGACTCTTCACCAAATTTCTAGTAGCCAAAGACACGTAAATTAACTAGAAATTTATAGGCTCTTTTTAATGTAATTCATAAAAAACATTACTCGGAATCTTTGTTTTGATCTTCCCAACAACTGTATGTTCCGAAATACATTCTTGAAAATTCCACAGCAATAAATATTGTTTGAATGTATAAATGTATTTTTGCAGATTCATAACTCATGCAACAAGGATTTTTTTGGGAGGGCGGAAAGGGCAGGAATAAACTAAAGAGAATGTAAATTTTTTCAAGTATTAACAATTGAATAACTTACCGGAAAATGAATCAAAACCATTTCATTCATTATGGTAGACATGGCAAAGTATGAACCAGTTATCAGACCTAAAAAGTTGTCGACAAATATTATAAATAAAAAAAAATATTTCAATCAAATTAAACTTTGGACAAAGAATAGTAAAAAAATTTCATACAATTACCATAAGATATCCTAATACAATAATCTGTAAACTTATTTTTAGCTGCAATACAAACTAATATAACGTACTAAAAATAACATAACATCGTCATAGTAAACACATATCTCCGCTGTAATTCTTAACAAAACAACCCACATGAAATTCCCTGTTTCCTGCATAAGTAAAAATTTAAAATTATGCTACTTGATCCTGTCTTACATTAAGACATATCAAGCTTATGTAAATGAATTAAAATGTAACAGTGATATTCCTTAGAACGTCATCTAAATTATTGTCTCACGCATATTCAAGTGAATTTACATAAGAACAAGTTAGTATGCAGGTTAAACGCCTGTCTCCTCTTTCCATATATTCACTCATTATGCCAAGGACAACATGCAGTCCCCATAAACAGAACTACGAGCCCATCTGTACTTCTAAAAAGTCCAAATGCATTTGATTACTTTGTTGTTTTTGTTGCAATATTGTTTATCCATACTCTTGTGTTCTTGACAATTGAATGAATACAGAACCGATACTAGTTTAATCAAATTTATTTCATTAAAAGAGACACTTCACAATTCTGGAACTTTCCACAAAAATAGCCATACAATTCTTCATAGTAGCGATAGTACGATTAGTAGTTACACTTCAAACTACTAAGAACGTTAAACACAACGGAATGCAAAGCGTATCTAAAGAGCAAGATAACCCGGAATTGTCTCAGTATTCCAGACTCTGCTAAACTAATCATTCACGATGAACAACTCACAACTACTGCGAGCAGATGCTCTATCCGGTCTTATTATAGCTTTCACTCTGCCGCCGAGATATTTGTAATACTTCTCGAAATTACTGGAAGTTATATGAAGGTCGGATACGGTTGCCGCTACATATGAAATCAGTTACAGTTATTCATTTACAATACCTATTAAGAAAAACGGAACCGGACCAAAATGTCGGCAAAGGGTTACCAAATTTGGGGATTTTTGACCATTTAGCTGTAAAAATTAATCACCAAAACCGTTGCCAGCTCGGCGATATCTCGTCAAAATAGCAAGGTAGCCATTTACTTAATGTTAAATAGACTTTCCCCTGTATTCTTAATTTTCTTACATAGCATCGTCTCTCTAAATTTTCATGTTACATTATACAGAAAAATAAGACAATTTCTTATATAATTGCACGAAAATCATCTAGCTATGTACAAAATGTGTAACAATAGATTTATTTAATTTTTATACCTAGAGTAATAATCTTAAGGTGTACTTTTGTGCAATCGAATATATGGCCACGCATTTTTCTAAACAGATATTTAAATAAAAGCTTAAATACTATGTATATAAAATAAGTTATGGCTTCTTTAGTCTAATATTTTCAGATAGAACTGAAAAAGAGGTCTTTAGATTATTCGTACTAGTACACCTTAATGCTGTAATTTTATTCACGATTTACTTTCAAATATCAATTCTTTTATTTTTATGTAACGTTATAAAGATATCAGAAAAAGAGAAAGATCATATTGAAAGAATGCGTTTATAGATTAAGAGTATATCCAAACGTTAGAATGATGAAATATAAAACAATGAGAAAAGTTGCGTTCGTACTGCTTCATTAAATTTTGATTTCATTTATGCATTTGTCTCATGATATACTTCAAAACTGCAGTTATATATATTTAGGAATCTGATAAGTGTGCAGATTTATTTATTGTTTCCAGTCCAGAATATGTTGAAAATGTCATTTACATCCTTATTCTACATAAAAAAATTTTTACTTAAAGTTACATCAAAAGTTACTTTATTTTACCATATTTTGAATTAATTCAGTGTATTTGATAGCTTTGGAATGACACATTATATAGTCACTGATCTTTTCCGATTATTATGCTTTATCTTTGCCCATAATTATTCCTCAATTACTAATGAAATTTAGTTAACTGTTAATAATCTATGCATATCAAAAATTAGCAACATCTTTCATGATAACTTAATTTATAGCATTTTAAATAAGGACTTACCATAAGAAATGAGTAACAATATAAAAGGTACAGATTTGAAAAGGTTCTTTAAGGATTCTGCATAGTTAGTGTTTTCTCGTTGCTTTGTAGCTTGAGCAACACTGGGAAACATGGGTGGCTTTTCTTGGAAAGCTAGTATCAAAAATAGAAATTAAATGTATGAAATATAAAAATTTATCACACTCTAAATGATAAAAAAAACTGTTAAGATAAAAGGAAAACTAGGAATTTTATTTCTTTTGTCCCGATGGGTTTCAGTTGTTAGAACTGAGTGAAATATTTCGAATAAATGCATTTGTTATCTGGATAAGTGTATAATCATTAGAGAAGAAACATTTGACTAAGCATTTGTGTCATGAAAGTTTTGAGTTTCTTTTATTTAAAATTAAGGATCATATTTCCAAAATCAAAATTTTAAAGTTTGCTTGATTTGACGGTCACTAGAAACTAAAAACATTTTCCAAACAATAAAGCAGTTAAATAATTGATAAGTAAAAATTCCTTCATATATTTGCCGATTATACTTTGAATTGCCTTTAAACTCCAAAGCAAGCAGAAAAGGAATAAAACAATAATAATTAATAATTAGATAGCTAATAATCTCGTAACCTTTCGTTACTCGTAAAACTATCTTAAGTAGGATTTAATTAAATCAAATTCCTTCCTAAGTGAACTTTTGAAATAAATCTTTACATCTGATGTCCAATTAAGATAACCCCGAGAATATGATGGCAAATACGCATTCCTTGGTTTAAGGTAAAATTTTAATACATCTTGCAAAGTTTATTTCACGAAATGTTTAATTTCTTATATATTTTTTCAGCACAATGTTTATCAGTTGTGAGAATCTAATGAGAAAATAAATTACAAATAAAGAGCAACAAAATTTTAGTTACTTCGTTTTTTATCAAGATAATGTTAACCCTCAGTTTTGTTTTGCCTGCAATGCATTTTTTTCTCAGCATTCTGTATAATTAACTTTAAAAGAACTGTGATATTCACGAACAATTTACAGTTTATAAATAAATGTTCCCAATATATACAATATTTTTTCAATAAATATGCATAAATGTAATTAGGAAATACGTACCCAAAAAAAGTAGGAAAAAAATCAGCGTGTTAATGACTGCCATCGGGTAGCCTATCATGCTAAGCTCGTATGAAATATCTACTTGATCCGTGCAATTATTTGTCATAGCCATGGGAGGAATGATGAAACCCAGTGCAATACCTAACTACAAATAATTTCTAGTTAGATTGTAGATTTTGAAAAGCAAATTATAGCTTCCTTACAAGAGAGTGAAATACGCATTCTATATTATAGCTTCCTTACAAGAGAGTGAAATACGCATTCTATATTATAACTTCCTTACAAGAGAGTGAAATACGTATTCTACATGATTTGAAACAATATTTCTTCAGTATTTGCATTATCAAACTAAACGTAATACATACTTAACATTCAGCAGTATAAAGAGAGGTATGTTGAATTTTTTCTTTCATATATTAATTATATATTAATCATTATATAATTAATTATATAATTCATATATTATCATATATTAATATTATTTATTTCATATATTATACTTTTTCATCATATATTAATATGATGCACTCAAAATAAGTTTTTCATACGAATGTTTCCCATTTAATTCCACAACAGAATGATACAAATTATTACACATTTACCCAAAATACAGCACATTGCCAGTTTATGAAACGGTTTAAATAAACGGAGTTGTTCAAATTAGCATTGATATTGCTCTAAAGAGCAGAAGATTTAAACAAGTTTGACTAATAACAAAAGTCTCATAAACATGTCCAGTTTGATAAATTTTGACATACGACAAACTTGACATAGGCGGCCAGTAGTTTGACATTTTTTTCGGTAAAAGCGCAGAATAGGCTGCATCAACAAAGTTCAGTAGGAGGAGCTGTGTGACGTACATAAATGGGTGGGACTAAGCTTGTGACGCCACAATGTAGTCTCCAGTCTCGCATTTACACTAAGCGTACTTTATATTCTCTCTTAAAAATAACAATAATAAATTGTTTGTTATTGTAAATTAATATCAAATTCTTTATTTTTAATTTACATTTATAACATTTAAGCTTAGACGTTACTGATAATAAGTATAATAAATTGTTTATATTTAAAATTACCGTGATACAGTGAGCGAATTCTACCAAGGAGGTTTTTTGAATTCTACCAATTATTAAAACGATAAACAACATCGCGGTCTCTAATACTTGTAGAGCTTCAATATTTTCAAAGATTTTATTAAAGCATTGATGCAAATAAAAAAGTTTAATTTAAATTCATATTGTGAAAAATTTCAATTTTATCATTTTTACAAATTACCTTCTTGCTACGTAACGACATAATTCCTTACATACCAATAATTAGACAATTTTCATTATTTTCTAAAAATTTTAAACATTACATTAATAAAAAAGAAGAATATTTTTTATTGCATGTGAACATCATTACACAACTTTCATATCAGTTTCCAAAATTCCTAAATCACGCCATATTCTCTGTAGGCATACTAGAATTCTACGCATTAATAAGTAAAAAAATCTAATTTCTCAGAATGAAAGAAAATAATATAATAAAATATATACTACAAACTTGGAACACTAAGCAATGCTTTTCATACACACACACACACACACACATATTATCAATGAACTGATATTATCAAGTGCAATTACGATACCAAACACTACGTATTAAAATATGACTTCAAGACAATTTTAATACTGTTGAGTAGATCGTCGGGCTGTTGATATATATCGTATGTCGGAAAGCGTTATAAATATATCAAAAACAAAAAATTAAAAATACAATTTAAATGAAAAATGATGTGTTAAATATAATTCACAATAAAAACAACAATACAAATTTAAAATACACAAACGATATGTTAAACATTGCACATAAATAAAGTTACATTACTGCTCGGCATCACACACAACCTCGTTTTCCCTTTTACACAACGATCAGTATTCGCTCGAAAAACATCAAAGAATTCCACAAACTCGGTGTTCATGTGCTCATCCATCTATTTTCACTTAAAGAAAAATCAGATAATTGCTCAAACTCGGCACTGCGCACCACATTGGCTTTGCCCATGTGCACATCGATCTGCTTTCACTTAAAAAAATCCCAGAATTGCACAAACTCGGCATCGCGCACAACCTCGGCATTGCGCACCACATTGGCTTTGCCCATGTGCACATCGATCTATTTTCACTTAAAAAATCTCCCAGAATTGCACAAACTCGTCATCACGCACAACCTCGGCATTGCGCACCACATAGGCTTTTCCCATGTGCACATCGATCTGTTTTCACTTAAAAAAAACATCCCAGAATTGCACAAACTCGGCATCGCGCACAGCCTCGGCATTGCGCACACATTGGCTTTGTCCATGTGCACATCGATCTATTTTCACTTAAAAAAATCCGATAATTGTACAAACTTGGCATTGCGCACCACATTCGCTTTGCCCATGTGCACATCGATCTATTTTCACTTAAAAAACATCCCAGAATTGCACAAACTCGGCATCACGCACAGCCTCGGCATTGCGCACCACATCGGCTTTGCCCATGTGCACATGGATCAACTTTCACTTAAAAAACATCCCAGAATTACACAAACTCGGCATCGCGCACAACCTCGGCATTGCGCACCACATTGGCTTTGCCCATGTGCACATCGATCTATTTTCATTTAAAAAATTCCCAGAATTGCGCAAACTAGGCATTGCGCACCACATTGGCTTTGCCCATGTGCACATCGATCTATTTTCACTTAAAAAACAACCCAGAATTGTAGAAACTCGGCATTGCGCACCACATTGGCTTTGCCCATGTGCACATCGATCTATTTTCACTTAAGAAAAATCCCAGAATTGCACAAACTCGGCATTTCGCACCACTCAAAACCGTCTATACGGTTTTTTCGCTCTGCTAGTTTCATATTTGTTCCACAAATTGGGCAATTATACGATATTGCAATCAAACTTTTCTCCATACACCACTCAATAACGCTCTTTTTACCTCTTCGCTCCAACTGATAAAAAAAATCCAGATTCAGATACTCATCCATTCTGCAGTAAGCACCGATTTTGACACACTCATCAATTAAAAAAAAACATTCTTTAAGCAAAAGAATTCTCTTCTGTATTTTCAGAAGTTACCGTAATAATTTTTAACGCATGCATTCAATATTTTCAATCGTTTGGTAATGATCGTTTTCAATCGTTTGGTATCTTAATAATACATTTATGAGAGATAATTCGTTGCATTAAATGCTAACACTACCACACAACACGCAAAAGTAGATTTATAATTTTAAAAAAAAATCTCGCGCAGAACATTATAAACCTACCATTTCAACTCAGTTAAAATATAATTTAAGTTTTCTTCAAATACGAAGCTATAGCATACTTATAACTTGTTTTTAAGAAGAGGCGTAACCAATATTACATCATAAAAAGGCGGGTCCACGCGTAAGAGAAGTAAACACAGCATCGACTGATGCAGCCTATTCTGCGATTTTTAAATAAACGGAGTTGTTCAAATTAGCATTGATATTGCTCTAAAGAGCAGAAGATTTAAACAAGTTTGACTAATAACAAAAGTCTCATAAACATGTCGAGTTTGATAAATTTTGACATACGACAAACTTGACGAAGGCGGCCAGTAGTTTGACATTTTTTTCCAAATATTAAATTTGTTGAAGATAAAATTGATGAAAGGTTGCAAAATAACATTTAGGTTTGAGTATAGCAATACTTCTCATTACTAGCTAAGCTCAAAAACCACCTTATTTCTGTACTGAGTCCGTATTACAGTAATGAAGTCATTGTTAAAGTACTCGCCAGAACGATTATGTATTGTTTTTAATATCGGCTCAAGGTTGCTCCTGTATCTATGGAAATTAGTAAAACATGCTTACAACGTAAAATACACTATGTGAATGAAACGTTCAATTTAGATACACCACATATTTTTATTTGTAAAATTTGTAATCTTTATAAAACTGAGTTTTATCTTTTGAGTAAAAACTAAAAACAGTTCAGTATTGCCCGTGTATGAATTCAGTTTATGACATTCGGAAGAAAGTCTGATATTCTTAAATGCTGAAATTAGTGAAATGCTTCTAGAGTAAATATTCTTAATATTAGGTAACGTTTGAGAAAGCAATCTCTGTACTATAAATTTCTTTTATTATCCTCTTATAATGAAAGCTCCTGTAATACTTCTTTGGCGAAATGAAGCAACTCCAATGATGGAACACAGCAATAACTTTTATTTAACACTCAAAAATGGCGACATACAAACAAGAAGAGAAAACATATTCTATCATTTAAAAATAAATTACATTCTTCGTGCGAGAGTCGCACGAGGCACTTGAGTCTGGTTTCAAATATTGCCATTCACAAATACCTTAATGTTCATTTATTTAAATTATTTAATCTACAAGATTTTAATATTATTTAAAGCTGTTACAACCTCTCCCCCAACGGAGAGACTTTTACTGTAAATTTCGAAAGTTTGTAAGCTCGGCTTGCTCGATTGCTTAAAGAGAAAAGGTTATTTCTCTTATAAATTTTTAAATTTAAAAATTTTAAGTTAGTTAAAAATTTTAAGCCAAAAAATTTTAAGTTTTAAACAATACTTTTACACCACATTTAAAAAGAAAGAAATGGAGAACGTTCAAATACATTAGTGGAGCATACATTAAATAATAAAATTAATTCTAAACGTGGTTACATACACTAAGAGTTACATTACTTAATTCTACTCAGAATATCTACGTTCTTGTGCAAAGATCCTTTGCGATGAATGACCTTAAAATTATAAGGTTGTAATGAGAGTGCCCAGCGCATCAATCTAGAGTTACATTTGGCGTTGGATTGTAGCCATACCAAAGGATTATGATGAGTTTGAATCAAGAATTCTTGCTGACGATCCAGATAAAAATGCAGTTTCTTGATAGCGTAGATGATAGCAGCGCACTCCTTTTCAGTAGTACAATAATTCTTTTCAAACTTAGTAAATTTTTGCTTATATACAAGATAGGATGTTCACGTTGTTCATCATCTAATTGGCATAGTACTATACCCATGCCATTGTCTGAGGCATCGGTTTGTATAATAAACCTTTTATCAAAATCGGGAGCATACAGAATTGGTTTCTTGCATAGCAACACTTTTAA